ACCTGGAGCTGCTGGAGCCACTCCAGAGGGGCTGAGCAGAGGGATGGAGCAGCTCTGCTGGCAGCAAAGGCTGGGAAAATTGGGATTGTTCAGCTGTGGGGTGACCTGACTGTGGCCTTGCAGGACCCGAAGGGGCTACAGGAATGTGGGGAGAGACTTTGGACAAATCACTTTGTGTGAATTTAACTTCATTCCTCTCTCTTGTTCCCTGCAGTGCTGCTGTTGTCTGATAGACCCCATTTGCCAATAAAAGCCTTTCTGCATCACAGTGGAACGTTTTCTGCTTTTATTTGTGTGCTTTCTGAATCTACTGATGCCAAAATAACCCCCAGGTGCTCGTCTCTTGCATTAATAAAGGTGATAAAAAGAAATCCCAGACCTTGATAAAAATCCCGAATGTTTCACAGCCATGGACATCGCACAAGTATTTTTTATATAAAACTTCATACACTTCAAACTTTACTTTTATACGCTTCATGCATCTACACTTTTAATTTTATACACTTTATACTTTAACAATATATGATTTACTTGAGTTTGTGGATGAAATTCTCCCCTGGGAGGGTGGGGAGGGCCTGGCACAGGTTGCCCAGAGAAGGGCAGGGAGAAGCTGCTGATGCAGCCAAGGTGACCTGTCACCATCAAACCCACAAGGGTCACTGAGGGGAGCAAGAAACTCCCTCAGGACAGAGCCAGAAGTAAGAAAAGAGCAAAGCAAACCCCTCAAAATCCCAGCAGCTGCACCTCCCACCCCTCCTGCCTCCTCCTGCCTCTGTTTTTGTTTCATTCTCTTTTTTGTTTGGTTCGTTTTCTGGTTTTGTTTCCTTCTCCTTTTTCTTTGTTTGGTTTTGTTCTTTCGTTTGTTTTTCGACCCCGTTTTCCCTTCAAATATTTTGGTGAAAGCTGCAAAAGGGACAAACACTCTGGGAACGAGACAAATCAGCAGGGCAGGGGGGATTTCTGCCTCTCTGTTCCTTGCTGAGGGATCTCTGGGTTCCTCCTGCCAGCCCCAAACCACAGCTCAGCAGAGCACAGGGACACTTGGGAGAGGTTCCCTCAGCGTGGCTGAGCCCCCCTGACACCTGGAAGGAGGAAATAACCTTTCCCACTGTGTAATCCTGGACCATTTTCCCATGAAACCTCTGGAGAAGCAGCTCCCAGATGCCCATTTTAATCCGATTTTCCGTGTTCATCCCTCTGCAAGGGGAGCTGTGGCAGCCCTGGGGAGTCAAACATCCCACCTCTGCCTCTCTGAGCTTTCCTTTCCCCCCCCTGGACCCCAGACGGTCCCAGACAGCCCCTGGGAAGCCCTTCCTTGCTCAGGAGGATTTTCTGCTTCACCCCCAGGTTTTTGTTGCCCATTCAGCTCTCCTGGACGTGCAGGAGTTCTCTGACTGCTCCTGCTGACTCTGGTGTTCCCATTTCCTCGTGGGTGACACAACAGCCCAGCTCAGGGTTCACCAGGTCCTTCCTGGCACCCACCCACTCCCTGGGCTGCTTTTGGGTGGGAATGAATCAAACCCCTTTCCTTTTGTGATTCTTTCACATCCTTCTCCACCTTAAGGAGAATTAGGCACCAGGTTTCCTGGTCCAGGATTCCACAGTGGAATTTATTGCTGTAATTAAGGGCCTGAATCCTTTAATGTCCCCCATCGATGGGGTTGATTGTTGTATTGATCAAGGAATCAAACCCTGGTGCCATCAGGTCACTGCCACTCAAGGTCTTGCCCTGGAAAATCCTCTAAAAAGGGCAAAGGCAACAAAAAAAGCTGGAGTTTCCCCCTCTCTGTGTGGATTCCAGGGAAAGCTGAGAACTGTGTATTGATTCCTTTTCCCCCCCTGTGAGTCAATCCTAAACCATAAAAGATACAAACTGCAGTGCAGTTTTTAACCAGCTGGTTTTGGTTTTGTTGAGCTGCCCCTCGTTCCCGCAGAGGAGAAATCCCAGGGCTGGGTTTGG